TGACTCAACTCTACTCTAGTAGTCACTAGACTCACTATAGTTGTCCGTCCGGCTGCTCTTGCTGAAATCATTACTCTTCATTCTCCCGTGCTCTAGCAATTGCGCTCCCTAGACCACTACCATGTAGTTAGGTAGGGACAATCAATCCGTAGTGACGGGAATCTAGGAAGGGGATCCCTATCAATATAAAAATGAAGAAATTAGAGTTTTATCCCTTTCTCTCACTCAATAGATGTTTCTGGTCTGATACGGTACAGTCCAATACGAGACGATGGAATGCAATGGGATGGATGGTAGAGGGCTGCATACATCGAGAATCCAGTAGTGTGCAATTCCCTTCTAATTCGTGACTTTTCAATAAAAGTTGCAATTACCAATTAAGATTAATATTTTAATCAGAATTCATATATATATATATATATATATGTATTTATCCTCTCTAACTCGATTTAGAATATATTATTAATAATATACCATGTCTACAGACATGATATATAACTTATTACCCACCGGTACACACACGGTAATTGCCATATTTACACAAGCATACACAACTATAACGTGCGATTAGATATATATTATACATATATATATATATATATTGTTGTGTGGGAAAATGTGGGTGACAGGTGGAGCGTCGACAGCATGACACGTGGCCTTACCTCCTCTCTAAAGGTGGTCACCATCGACGCCAGGACATTGATCACCCTCGACACCAAGAGTTCGACTACCCTTGACGCAACAAAGAAATGCCCAAATTAGGGCGTCAACCCGTTGTGACGTCGAACTTATGCAAAAACCTTCGAAAAGGTTAGAAAGGGCATAAGACCCGTGCGGCACAGACGCCAAGAGGAAGATACGTGACACCATAAGTTGCGTCTAGGAGTGGGATACGTCTGCAATACGGGCATTAATTACAAACCTTTAAACCGCCCTGCAGTGGGTTGCAAGAGATTACAGGAATTCACAGAGCCGTAATAGAAGACCTAATTGCTGAGTGAACAGTCCAAAAGTGATTAGTGGGCTACGGTCTTAGCCTAGAAAGTAGGCCACTCGAGTACTTCCACCTACGAAGGAAAACCACCCACGAAGGAAGCTTGGGCTATAAAAAGGGCAAAGCCCCATACGCCAAAAGGGGAGAGTTCTCTAAAAAAAGCATGAGAAGAGAGAGCATACGTGCATGTAAATTGTAAAGAGTCCAAAATAAATATACCATACACAAGTGGATGTAGCTTTTCATTTACAGAGTGAACTATTATAAATCTCATGTGTCCTCTTATTCAAGTGTTATATTCATGCTCACAAAACATAACAAACACTTCATACTATAATTTCAAATATACAGCTAATTTCTAACCGATAACCCCACGGGATACCAAAGGGTGATCCGGTATATTTCTGTTGACGAAGTTTCACCGTTAACATATATATTTTCCTGAACTTTGACCGGTGGATTTAAAATGAATTTTGAAAAAATACATGTTTCTAAACGTACTAATATATTATATATCCGTTGTCACCACTCATTTTTAACAATATATGCGTAACTCTGACATTCACATACATTAAACAAATTAAGCAATACAAGAAAAATGTTAATTTTCCATTGACCGCGTAATTGCATTAATAACACGATTGGAACCCCTTCCAAATGAGCAGTACGCGTATATACGTGTCTATATATATAGTTGAACAATTTTAAAAATACCTCTTAAAATGGAGCGCTATTTTATTTTTACCTCTTAACATTAATTTATATATTTTTATTTTTTAAACTAGATTCAGTTAAGAGATAGAAGTAAGTCAGGTACTTAAATAAATAAAATGTCTAATTTTCTCTTTATTTTATTTAGTTTAAAGTTTGCAAGAGGAGAAAACTGTTAGTTTTCCGTTGTACATATTTATCATGCATGCATATAATAAAGTATAAAGAGTATAAGTAGGATTCCATTCGGGGCACACTTGTTAGCTACAGTACTTCCCATCTGTATTGTAAACAACTATAAGACATAATAGTTATAATTACCAAGATTAAGAATATTTTGACCCGAATTCATAATTTAGCTTCTCTAAATCGGTCTATAATATATAATAATTTGCAATATTGTCGCCATACATAAGAAGAGATGGCGATGGCTTAGACGTTGATATTAACATATATATCTCCTCCACATATAATATTATTTAGCTAAACAAGAACCCCCTAAAAAGAAGTATCTTCGCCACTTATTTTTCGCGTGGAAATTAAAAGGCTGATCTATGAAGACTGCACGATTGGATCCACGTGGCAGACATAAAATTTGTAACCCAACCACATCCACATATGTGCATCAGCACGGACAAAAAAATTGCAGTACACGTTTTGTAAATGAAAAACCCTTTTGGTGTGTTTAGAACTCGTTTTAAAATGATTTTATTTTTTGTATAAAAATAGAAATGAAAATATTTTTAATCTCAAACAAATGTTATTTTTGAAAATGTGATTGGTAGTTTTATCAAAAGATTATTTTCAGTATAAAAAAATCCATTAATGTATTTCTCTCTCTCTCTGCTCGAGGGAAGAGAAAACGGAAACAAAAATGAAAAACGACTTCATTTCTCTCTCATTTTACACCAAATCAAACAATCGTTTTCATTACCGTTTTTTTAGCTTTAATTGTGCCAAATGTCATTTTTCTTCCGTTTTCATTTTTTTCGAAAAACGTAAAAAGTAGAAACAAAACAACTCCAAACACGGATTCATCATTTGATATGTATTTTTCGTGTTAAGTTCATATCAATTAAATTTTAACTCGAACATCTTTTTTTTTTTTAACTTTAGCTTGCGAAATTCGTATCATTTTTCAAGTCTATTGTCGCATGATGAGTCATATTGACAGCCTTAGTTTTTATTCCCTCCTAATTTGTGACCGCGAGATTCACATTTTTTTTTTGTTAGAAAAAAAAAGTAATATAGTGACGTGTAATTACTAATCTATAAACACGACTTTGCAGTAAAAGTTGCAACTACCAAATAAGACTAATATTTTGATCAGAGTTCATATATATATATATATATATCCTCTCTAACTCGATTTAGAATATATTATTAATAATATACCATGTCTACAGACATGATATAACTTATTACCCACCGGTACACACACGGTAATTGCCATATTTACACAAACATACACAACTATAACTTGCGATTAGATATATATTATATATATATATATATATATATATATATATATTCCTGAACTTTGACCGGTGGATTTAAAATGAATTTTGAAAGAATACACGTTTCTAAACGTACTAATATATCATATATCCGTTGTCACCACTCATTTTTAACAATATATGCGTAACTCTGACATTCACAGACATTAACAAATTAAGACAAATTTTGGAATTCATGCTCAACTTAGATGACAGTTTCGTGATAACTATCATTTTTAATAAAGACCATCGTCACAGAAATCTAAATAAAAATAAATTTTCGAGCTAGCTATATTTTAAGTGGAACTATAGATGATAGTTAATTGGATATTATGGTATTTAATATTAGCTTTTTATTTTCTTGATTCATGTCAGATTATCATAGAAACTCCTTTCTGTTATTTTTACTTTTATTTTTATTTTATTTAAGAATTTGGTAATTTAGAAAGATAGTTTGTTCAGTTTGCAAATCAGTACATGCCACCTCTGATAGTTCCCCCTGGGACCTTTGCACTAGTTTTCAATTGCTTCAAAAGACTTCGCCATCAAAAATGTAATAAAGACAAATTCAACTAATTATAATATGTGGCTCAGATTTCTCTCTGCCTATACGTTTGTTTGTTTGTTTTGCTTAATTTATATTGTTATATATTCCCTCCTAAGTTGTCATGACCGCGAGATTCACATTTTCTTTTCCCGAAAGTACATAATGCCTATCTTTTTTGCTATAATATGTGGCTGAAGAGACTCACGTACACCAATTAAACATCATATGAAGACATATTAATCAAGGGTTCTAATCCACGGCGACGCGACCCTGCAAGGACAAATGTTGGATTGCTCTTTATGTCGTCTCTAAATCTAATACTTGAACCCTCAACCATCTCTTTATGTGATCTTAGGTCGTCCCCGAAGGGATTTGGCCCCGTAAGGTTGCATCCCTATGAATTCAAAACCCTCTATCACGTTTTTATATGGTCTTCTCATGCACCATTATATTGGGGACGACAACCTAAGACTAATTAAAGATGAGGTCAACTCAAATTCCTAAGAACACGATCATCCTCTAAGGGCCAAATCCGTCCTAAGAAAAATCATTAGTTGAGTAGTGAGGCGCACGCGTACACATATATATTTATATATATATATATGTATATGAGAGAGATCTATGGTTTTGCATGATTTAGGTATCCTAAAATTATTTTGCCTTCTTTTCTTGTAATCTCGCTATATTTTCGCTTGTTGACTGGATTTTGTCAGCTGTATAGGACCATGCTCTTGTCTCTCCCAATTTATTTGCTATATTGGAGGATCTTTTGCACATACTATATTTTGCATACGTAATTATTAGGATACTGACTTATTCTCCCTAGTATAATTGTAGGAGTAACTATCCTAATTTGTTTGATTCTTTGCTGATTGTAATTGCCAAAAGTTAGGCCTTAGTTTGTACGTGTAAATCTATATATTACAGTGTACATCAATAAGAAACATAACAAATTTTGAAGATTTCATTTTTTTATGGTATCAGAGCAGGTTACAGAGCTCTAAACTTTTTTTTTTCTTTTCTTTCTCTTTCTCTTCGTTAACATGATGCTGACAACAACATGAGCAAATCTGGGGACCTGATCACAAGTGCAATTCCTACCACCTCTCCATACTATTTGTACCCATCTGGTCATCCTGGCTTGATTTTCGTGACTACTCATTTCAATGAAAGTGGAGAAAATTACTTCACCTAGGGGCGTAGCTTTTTGAATGCACTCCATTCCAAAAACAAGGCATGTTTTGTGGATAGGATGTTACAGAGACCGGACGACGGTTCGCCGGATTTAAAGGCATGGATACAGTGCAATGCAGTGGTTATTTCATGGCTCAGGAATGCGCTTGCGAAAGAGCTTCAAGGAAGCGCTGCCCATGTCGACATTGCGACAGAGTTGTGGGCAGATTTGGACGAAAGATTCACTCAAGGAGTGGCACCCAGAGTCTACGAGTTGAAACGAGCCATCGCTCTCTTACAGCAAGAGAAATCCTCGATTTCATCCTATTACGGTAAATTAAGAGCCATTTGGGGTGAGTTGCAGGGTCTCAATTCAGTACCAGTGTGCAGATGCAGATATAAATGCGGTGCGGCAAAGAAGATGTAGTCTATGCGTGAGGAGAAGAAGGTTTTTGATTTTTTGATGGGACTTGATGAAGAATACACAACCGTGAGATCCCAAATCTTGAGTGTCTATCCATTGCCGATCCTTGGAAGAGCATATGCCATTACCGCACAAGAGGAGAAACAACGTACAGTTGCTGCATATCGTGCTCCCATCATAGAAACTACAGCCCTACTGACTAAAAGCAATGAGTCAAGATCGAAGAAAGTAGTGATGAAGATCGTGGTAAACCAATTTTTCCCCCTTGTGTGCATTGTGGGAAGACAAACCACATAAAATCATACTATTACAAGGTGATAGGATATCCACCGGATTAGCGAAAACCCAGAAAACATAATGATAAGCAAACTAGATCACAAGGAGACCGTAGGGACGATGGTGCAGTTCCGAATAACGACTCTTACGGAGCGGCTTTTGCTACAACTATGGACGTAGTCCTGTCACTAATCCTTGGCCTTACTTCTGCACAACATCAACAATTGATGGCTCTTCTAAGTGGTACACCATCAGTAAACATGGCAGCCTCCAATTGTTCGGGTAAGACATATAATGAATGGGTGATTGATACGGGGGCGACAAATCACATAACCCATAATCTAAACACATTATCAGAAGTAGTTTCATGGCCTGACATTCCACCAGTGCAAATTCCCAATGGCGAGATAGTAGTAATCCATGCTCTGGGTCAGGTTGATCTTGGGAAGAGATTAACTCTTGAACGAGTCCTTGGGGTTCTAGATTTTTGTTATAATTTGTTGTCTGTTAGTAAGTTGACACGTGATTTAAATTGTTCGTTGACTTTTTGGCCAGAATTTTGTGTGATTTAGGACTTACCTTCGAGGATGCTGATTGGAGTGGATAAAGAGCGGAGTGGTCTCTACTACTTGGAGCCGATGACGGGGGGAAGGCATTGATTACCAGCAATCCTGTTAATGTATTATGGCACCGGCGCTTGGGGCATCTACCACTGAATCGTATCCCTTTGGTTCCAAATTTATCCATTTCTTTTTATTGCAATAAGACTGTTTTGTGATGCTTGTTGTAAGGCAAAACAAACACGATTACATTTTCCTATCACTATGAATAAAACTATGCATGTTTTTTATTTACTTCACTGTGATATTTGGGGTCCATACAAAACAGTCTTTCTCTGGGTTACATTATTTCCTAACCATAATGGATGATTTTAGTCGAGCAACACGGGTCTTTCTCATGAAACACAAATCAGACACCAAGGCGTATCACTTGTAATTTTTTAATTGGGTCTCCACACAGTTTAACTTGCAAGTCAAAATTTTCAGAACAAACAACGGACTAGAATTTGGTCATGTTGCTTTAATAGCTTATTATCTTGAACATGGCATGGAACAACAATCTAGTTGTACGGACACACTACAACATAACGATATCGTCTAGCGAAAGCATAGGCATCTTCTTGAAGTTGCGCGTGCACTACGATTTCAAGCGAAACTTCTTATTTCCTTTTAAGGAGAGTGCGTTCTTACTACTGCATACTTGGTCAACCATATGCCGCTCTTAGTTTTACAAAGTAAAACACCGTATGAGGTTCTACTTGGGAAGATTCTCAGTTATGATCATCTAAGGAGCTTTGGGTGCCTTTGTTACGGGCATATGAATAGCAAGCCACGTGACAAATTTGCTCCACGTGCTAAACCGAGCATTTTTGTTGGATACCCCAACGGACAAAAGGGATGTAAAATTTATGATCTTGAGAGTAAGATGATCTACGTCTCACGCGATGTTCAATTTTTTGAAGAAAATTTTCCATTTGCAAATCATTCAGTTGCAGATCTTGATCAAACCACAGCATTGGAACACGAGCAGGCTCCTTGGCTCGTGAGGACTGAGCCCTCACCACCCATCGTTGCGGATGAGTTTGCTATTCCTAGACCCGTGCCCTCAAGATCTTCAGCTGAGTCACTTCAATCAACAACCACTGATCCTGAGCCAACTATATCAGACCCATCCACAACAGCTGCACCATCTTGTTATTTTGTTGAACCTACCCCAGTTGGTGAGCCCGAACGCATTAACCAGCAACTCCACTGGTTTCTCAGAAAAAGACAACGGCATATTTCACGTTCATTGTCTAGTTATGATTATGTTACCCCTTTTCTCTCAGTTCTTCAAACACCACACTGTACTCAACCACTCCTTGGGCCAACTCAACAGTACATCCTCTCTCTCACTCTATTTCTTACTCTAAGTTTTCGCATGCTCACCCTGTATTCTTAGCGGCCATCTCATCAACCGATGAGCCAAAATCATTCTTTCAAGTAGTCAAACATGCACATTGGAGGGATGCCATGGCAAAGGAGATCACTGCCTTGGATGCTAACCATACTTGGACTTTGCAACCACTACCTCTTGGTAAATAAGCCATCAACTCTAAATGGGTTTACAAAGTCAAATATCATCCAGATGGACGCATTGAACGCTACAAAGCGCGCCTCGTTGCCAAAGGCTATACTCAGATTGAGGGTGTCGACTTTTATGAAACATTTGTCCCAGTTGCCAAACTAGTTACTGTGCGTTGTTTATTAGTAGTTGCTTCGATTAGGCACCGGGAATTACACTAACTGGATGTGAATAATGCTTTTCTACATAGGGATCTGGAGGAAGAAGTCTATATGAAGATTCCACAGGGATTTTCCAAACATGGGGAGCAGCGAGTTTATCGACTACAAAAATCTCTTTATGGACTTCGTCAAGCATCCAGAAATTGGTACCACAAGTTCACAGCCTCGCTTCTTGAAATTGGTTTTCAGCAGTCAGATGTGGACCATTCTTTGTTCATCTTTTCTCGTGGGGGATCTTTTGTTGCAGTTCTCATCTGTGTTAATGATGTCCTCATCACGGGAACAGACTCTGCTCGTATCTCTAAGCCAAAACACTACTTGGATACTAAATTTCACATCAAGAAGCTTGGGAAACTCAAGTATTTTCTTGGACCTAAAGTTGCATGCTCCTCCGTAGGGATTGCTTTAACTCAACACAAATATATCCTTGATATCCTAGCTTGGAGTGCTCTCATAGGCTATAAACTAGCTTCTTTTTCCATGGACCATCAACATAAACTTTTGGTCGAGTCTGGTATGGCTTGTAGTGATCCCAGACACCACCGTCAATTAGTGGGTCGATTGTTTTATCTCACCATCACTCGTCCAGACATTAGCTATGTGGTGTATATACTTAGCTAGTTCATGCATGCACCACGACAACCACACCTTGCTGCAGCATATCAGGTGTTGCGATACCTTAAAAGAAATCCAGAATAAGGGATCTTGCTTCCCTCAGATGGTTCGTTATCTTTACGTGCATATTGTGATGCAGATTGGGCAGGGTGTCCAATGACACGCAAATCAACCACATGCTATATTATTTTTCTTGGCAATTCACCTATATCTTGGCAATCCAAGAGACAAATAGTAGTTTCTCGTTCTTCCGCTGAGGCTGAGTACAATGCCATGGCAACTACTTCTAGTGAAATTATTTGGCTCCTAAGGCTCTTACGTGATCTTCAAGTAAAATGCACTTATCCGATTCCCCTCTTTTGTGACAATCAAGCAGTCATTCACATTGCAGCCAATCCGGTCTTCCACGAGCGTACAAAACATATTGAAATAGATTGTCATTTTATTCAACAACACATTCAATCAAAGAAAATTATCACTTGCTCCATTTCTTCACAAAACTAATTGGCTAACATATTTACTAAAGTACTCGGGCGTGATCGGTTCCATGAATTGTTAGTCAAGTTGGACATTTCTACCCTCCATGCTCCAACTTGAGGGGGAGTATTGGAGGATCTTTTGCACATACTATATTTTGCATACGTAATTATTGGGATACGGACGTATTCTCCCTAGTATAATTCGAGGAGTAACTATCCATATTTATTTGATTTTTTGCTGATTATAATTGCCAAAAGTTAGGCCTTAGTGTGTGTGTGTAAATCTATATATTACAGTGTACATCAATGAGAAACATATCAGATTTTGAAGATTTCATTTTTTTTAAATTTCACATGTATTAAAAGCATGTAATTCTTATTATTCCGTATTGATCAATGGTTCATGTACCAAAAATAGTAAAGATTAACTTTCCATAATATTCTGCAGGATGTAGAATAGTTAGTGCTTCTTTATAGCTATTGGCTATTCTGTTTTTGTAGGTTGTGAGTTGTGATATTGTTTCTGATCTTCCTCTCCTGAAGTGGCTACTTCTCATAGACAGCATGACGCAGTGCCACAACAGTAACTGTAATTCTTTGCGCACTTCATCTTTGTCTCTCTCTGCCACTACACTTTCAGTTGGCGTCATTTATATCGAACTTCAATATTTTAGGTTGGAGCAGGCTTTGTTTTCGCTCCATAGTTACTGAGAAAGAGAAATATTGGGTGCGTTTGAAACTCATTTCAAAATGATTTTATTTTTTGTATGAAAATATAAATGAAAATGTTTTCAATCTCAGACAGAAATCATTTTTAAAAATGCGTTTGGTTGTTTTATCAAGAGATTATTTTGAGTATAAAAAAATTCATTAATGTCTCTCTCTCTGTGCTCGAGAGAGGAGAAAACGGAAACAAAAAATGAAAAATGACTAAAAGTCATTTTTCATTTCTCTCTCATTTTACACTAAATCAAAAAATCATTTTCATTTCTATTTTTTATCTTTAATTGTGCCAAACACCCTTTCTCTCCCGCTTTCATTTTTTTTTCTCAAAAAACGTGAAAAACAAAAATAAAACCAACTCTAAATAGGCCAAGTGAATTTGTCGACCACGGTCTCATTTTTCGCTTCTGCTTCATAGTTACGATGGTCGGGGCCGATTTTTGGTGGCTGCTTGCAGATATATCTGGTGCATTACTGATGCAAGGCATGCTCTACTCAATCAATGTGGCTGATGCTCATTGTCATTTCCTACTGTTGGCTATGAGTTTTTTGTCGTTTGGCCCGATTTTTAGTGTCATTTCTTACTAGTTAAAACGCATGTTTATTTATCGTTTGGTTGTTGTTTTCTTTAAGCTATAAATAGCTGATTGTCAGACACTTAAAGAAATTAATGAAGTATTATTGAGATTTCCCAGAGTTTGGATTTGTTTTGTTTGTTTTATTCCTTTGTTTAGGGTTCGGCTCTAGAGGCCTCTCCCATCTGGTTATAGCCAGAAAACCTTTTCCCAGCTGCGGTTGCACCATTTGGTATCAGAGCCAAGGCTTTCCCAAAGCATGGTTGCCACCGGTGAGTCTAGCCTTCCAAGTGGTGAAGATGACGCACGAGGTTTACCTGCTTTTTGGGCTGCCATGGAGAAACTTGACCAGAAGTTTGAAACCCGCTTCAACATCCTTTGACGGGACTTAAATTGAGTCCTGACCCACCTCGAAGCCACCGCAGTGGACCAACGACGGGAACCCCCACCTCCGCGAGAGTAAGCAACCGCCCGAACCCCACCTCCGTTGAACAGAGAGCTACGACCACGAAGACTTGCTGAGTTCGTACCTGACCTCAAAGAACTTGAAATGGAGAATACCGCCGCAGTGCCACCACCTCAACCTGTCGTGCCGCCGACTCGAGCAGGACTGGCCGAACTAGAGGGTGAAGAGGATTTCGCGCCCTGGCTTACTCGGAGAACTGGGTATGGTCCCCGAAACCCTCCTTTTAATGGTGATCAGAACTCTGATTTCAAACTAAAAATGGAACTCCCTGGCTATGGCCATATCGATATTGAGGATTATCTTGACTGGGAACATAAGGTTAACACCTTCTTTAAGTATGGATGTCCCAGAAGACAAGAAAATGAAGTATGTAGCCTCCAAATTGATAAAAGGGGCTGCAGCTTGGTGGATCTCAGTGAGTACAAATAGGGAGAGAGATGGAAGGCCACCCATTCATTCTTAGGCCTTTATGAAACAGTTGTTATGACAACGATTTTTGCCCAACGATTTTTAAAAGACTCTATACCGGCAATTCCAACGTTGTTCGCAATGAGGCCGGAGTGTTGGGGAATACATAGAGGAGTACTATCGCTTGAGTGCCCACAATAACCTTCCAGAGTCAGAGGACCAACAGGTAGCTCGGTATGTTGGAGGACTAAGGGATTCAATCCAGGACCAGTTCACCCTGCGACCCATATGGAGCTTAACCGATGTTGTCACTATGGCTTACAAGGTAAAGGCACAACAAACTCGCAGCGGCAGCCGAGTTTTCTCAAGCTGAAGATCCATTGATTTTGGTCTAGACAAGGGAGGAACGAGCGAGTTTTTGCAGTGACAGGGAAAAGGTCCTTTGGAGGCCCCAAAAACTAACAACACCGAGCAGCTCCCTTTAGGCCAGCAGAAGCATAACCCCTACGCTAAACCAATTGTAGGAAAGTGTTTTCGATGCAATAAACCAGGACATCGTTCCAACGAGTGCCCGCTTCAGAAACTCGTGAATCTCATTAATGAAATAGGGGTTGAGGAAGAAGAAGAAGGAACCAATAACTGTGACAAGGAGCCCGAAGAGGTCGAACAAGTATTTGGTGACGAAGGAAAAAGGGTTGTTTGTATAGTCCAAAAACTCTTGCTTACCCCGAGAGAACCGGTTGCTAGCCAACGGCACTCAAACTTTCAGACCCGTTGTACGGTGAATATGAAGGTGTGTGACCTCATCATAGACAGTGGCATCAGTGATAATTTTGTCTCCAAGGCACTAGTCAAGGCCCTGAACCTTCCCACAGAAAAACATCTGCGACCCTATAAGATAGGATGGATTAAGAAGGGAGTTGAAGCATTAGTAAACTCCATTTGCAAGGTGCTGCTATCAATCGGCAAACATTATCAAGATACAGTGGCTTACGATGTCATAGATATGGATGCCTCACATATCCTACTAGGTAGGTGCTGGGAGTTTAATGTGCATGCCAAGCACGATGGACGGGCCAACAACTATGAATTCCTTTGGAATGGCAAGAAGATAGCCTTGATGCCGCTGCCCCAACAGGAGAATTTAATTGGCCCAAGTACTCACATTGGTCGACTATTCCTTACTGCCCCAAGAAAATCTTTTGAACATGACGTGCGGTCCGCCGAGCTAGTCTTGGCTTTAATTTCAAAAAGGGCGGCCACAGGTGACCTTATGGTTCCTGTGAATGTGCGATCATTGTTGAAAGAATTTAAAGATGCGACCCTTGAAGAGTTACCTGAAGAACTCCCGCCAATGCGAGACATGCAGCATCGCATTGACCTCATCCCAGGAGCGAGCCTTCCTAATTTTCCGCATTACCGAATGAGTCCTCTCGAACATGAAACCCTGCAAAAGATGGTAGAAGACCTACTACAGAAACAGTTCATCCGTCCTAGCCTCAGTCCTTGTGCCGTTCCAACCCTCCTCATCCCAAAAAAAGATGGGAGTTAGAGGATGTGTGTCGACAGTCGAGCCATCAACAAAATCACCATCAAGTATCGATTCCCGATCCCTCGTCTCGAAGACATGCTTGGCAAATTGGAAGGGTCGACGGTTTTCTCTAAGTTGGACTTGCAAAGTGGCTATCATCAAATCTGAATTCGGCTGGGCGATGAATGGAAGGCAGCCTTCAAGATGCGGGAAAGGCTGTACGAGTGGAAAGTGATGCCATTCGGCCTATGCAATGCACCAAGCACATTCATGAGGCTCATGAACCAAGTTCTCAAGCCATTCTTAGGAAGATTTGTGGTTGTTTACTTCGATGACATACTCATCTATAGCAGGGATCCCTTTGAGCATCTGGGGCAGCTTCGGGATGTATTGAAGGCATTGCGGGACCACACACTCTATGTCAATCTTAAGAAGTGTGAATTTTGTACTAACAAGTTGCTCTTTTTGGGTTTTGTAATAAGTGAACAGGGCATTGAAGCGGACACGCGGAAGGTCGAGGCTGTCTGTAATTGGCCCACGCCGAGCACTGTACACGACGTTTGAAGTTTCCACGGACTAGCAACCTTTTACCGGAGGTTCATCCAAACCTTCAGTTCCCTCATATCTCCCATCACGAACTACCTCAAGCAGAGCCGGTTTAATTGGGGGGAGGAACAAGCGTGCAGTTTCACTCTTGTTAAAGAAAAACTCAGTTCCACTCCTGTTTTGGCCCTCCTTAATTTTGACAAGGTTTTTAAAGTAGAGACAGATGCCTCTTTGGTCGGCATTGGGGTTGTCCTAACACAGGATGGGAGGCCGGTGCAATTTTTCAGGGAGGCCGGTGGGGCTCTCTAAAGAATTTTTGCTTCATAGTGATCACCAAGCGTTCCGTTACATTCATTTTAAGAAAGGAAGCAACAGGATGCATGCTAGATGGTTTCTCTACCTTGAGCATTTTACCTTTGTGATCAAGCACAAGGCCGGCAAAACCAACAAGGTGGCTGACGCTCTTAGCCGAAAACCAAACTTTCTTACCACTCAAAAACCGGATCTTCTTCACACGTTGGCAAATGAGATAATCAGCTTGGAGAGCTTGCGGGATCAATATGAAGGCGACGAGGACTTCGGTGACGTTTGGGAGAAGTCCACGCGGGGACTCCGCGTGGTGGACTACCATGTCCACCAAGGGTATCTATTCAAAAGGAGCCGGCTTTGCATTCCACATTTTTCTCTCCGGGAGCAACTGATTCGGGAATTGCACGCTGGTGGGCTAGCTGCTCACCCGGGCGTGATCGGACCACTGAACTCCTCGTGGAGAGGTTCTTTTGGCCTCGAATGCATCGGGACATTGACTCCTTTGTTCGGCGGTGTGGCACTTGTCAGTGGGCCAAGGGTCAAACGCAGAACCCGGGGTTGTACCTGCCACTTCCCATTCTAAAAAATATTTGGGAGGACCTAAGCATCAATTTTGTCCTAGGACTCCCAAAGACTCCATTGAACTTCGATTATGTGATGGTGGTTGTTGACCGGTTTTCGAAGATGGCGCAATTTGTAGCTTGCAAGAAGATAGCTGATGCAAGTAATGTTGCTCGCCTATTCTTTAAAGAAATAGTCCGCCTACATAGGGTTCCGAGAACAATTACTTCTGACCGCGACATCAAGTTCATCAACCATTTCTGGAGAGAGTTGTGGAAGCGATTCGATACGACCCTCCAATTCAGTAGCACCGCCCATCCGCAGACTGATGGCCAGACTGAAGTGGTGAACCGAACTTTAGGGAGCATGGTTCGATGTTTGGCTACGGGGCAACCTAAACAGTGGGACATGGCCCTTGCTTAATCCGAGTTTGCTTTCAACAGTGCAGTGAATCGGTCCACTGGCAAGTCCCCTTTTACTGTGGTCTACATGAAGGTTCCAAATCACACCGTAGACTTGCTTCATCTTCCCCATTTCAAGAGTAAGACTGCCGTTGAACTAGCAGATCATGTGGTGCAAACACATCAAGAGGTTAAGAAAAGCTTAGCCCGAGCTAACGCAAAGTACAAGGAGGCTGCGGACAGGCACCGTTGAGAGCGACTGTTTTCTGAAGGGGATCTTATCATGGTTCACCTTTGAAATAATCGAATGCTTGTTGGAACTTTCCACAAACTGCAATACAAGAAGTTCGGACCCTACAAGGTTCTCAAGCGAATCAACAACAATATGTATGTCATCGACCTCCCGCCGGATTTGCAGTTGTCCTCCACATTCAACGTGGCCGATCTGTTCGAATACTATCCCCCCGACGCGGTAGAGACCACTAACACAGAGAATTCTGAGTCGAATTCTGTCAAAGAGGGGGATAATGATGCAGGGCATGCTCTACTCAATCAATGTGGCTAATGCTCATTGTCGTTTCCTACTGTTGGCTTTGAGTTATTGTTGTTTGGCTCCATTTTTAGTGTCGTTTCTTACTAGTTAAAATGCAGGTGTATTTATCGTTTGGTTGTTGTTTTATTCCTTTGTTTAGGGTTCGGCTCTAGAGGCCTCTCCCATCTTGTTTTAGCTAGAAAACCTTTTCCCAACTGCGGCTGCACCAATTACCTTTCGCAAGATCGAACAAAGCTAGTCTTGATCGATGAATGTACTTCTTTATGCTTTTTCTTTTCTCAAACTTTGTTCTTCTAGCACTCTTGTATCAGAATTAGTTCGTCATTTTGCGTCTCGTTTGGAAGCGATTGGACAAAATAGCATCAGTTTTGCTAAACAATTTCCCAATTGGGGCAAGGTTTTGAAAAAGAAACGTTTCTTATTGTCATTCATTTGATATATAACAATAATTGCCTGTTGTTCTTAGAAAAGTCACTTGCACCGATAGATATTTTTGAATTACCATACGTATCTGAGCAAATGGTCCATGTCTAGACTTGGGTTTAACTGATTTAATAGGAGGCAGACGGGCCCTGACTTTTAAACTTGCAAAAACAGTCCTCGAATTTAATATTTGCAGCACAACTAGTCCAAAGTCTTAGACGTGGACTTTAGCTATTTTAACAAGTTTTTCGGCACAATGCTCCCCGAACTTTGACTCATGTTGTAATTTTCTACTTAAAATCTTAATTTGGCCCAAATGGTTCCTAAATTTAACGTTTTATAGGAAAAAGAGTCTGATAGAAAATGTCTGTTTAATATCTAACAAAAAAAAGGCACCTGCTTTTTGTTATTATTTTTTATTTAAGTTTTTCAAATATATGAGTTTACTAGCTATCATTTTTTCTTACTTAAGATTAGTTTCTTTTCTTGGAAATGCAATTTGAAGGAAAAATACCAGTTTAGACCACCTAGTGCATCAAGTAGTGCTGAAATTAGAATCCAAGAAGAAGCCTCTCAAATGCCTATAATCTCAAGAAGAAGAAGAATGTTTGAAGGATGCATTTCATGCACTGAATTGTGGAAAACTATTATTTTTGGGATTTCAGTTCATGAGATTTTTGTTTGTGGGAATATGTTTGAAAAAGAGGGAGAGATGAGAGAAAGAAATGGAGAATTTGCCTGTATTCAATTAATCATCTAAATTGAAGTGAAAATACGAATACTTGCTCTGTTTGTAGACATAAATCCTAGTAATAATCGAACTTATAATACTATTCAAACTCAAATAGTTATAAATAATCGGAAATCAAATAACCTGTAGACATTAAATAAAGTAACTTAAAAGTAACTCCAATTCTAAAATCTGTATTATATTCCATCAATATCATTATATCTTATGAAGGGGGGAAAAAAAAAAAACATGCACTTATGTATAAAAGTAGTAAACTTTTTTTATGGTTGTGTTTTATTGCCACATAATGAGTATTTTTTTATGAATATATATTACAAGTAAATTATTATTACAAATGCTCTAACTTATTTGTTTAGTCCAAATTTATCAACACTTGCGGCCTAAACCCACAACCCACACTGCACTACACTGCAAAATATCGGTGTGGTTATGCATTTTATTTTATTTTATTTTTTCACTGTGGTTCAAAAAAATCATTTAACTACACTTCTAGTTTGGTGAAATTTTTTTGGAAAATAACCTGTCAAACCACACCGTACTCACCCCTAGATACACGCACCAAATCTCTTAAGACAAGATTTCATCAAAATTGACAATTAAAAAAAGTTAGATACATGAGAAGTGCCTGAACTTTTTTCTTTTTTTAGAAGAAATTCCTGTATTGAAAGTTGTATCAAATTTAGTCCCTAAATTATATAAATACGCTAAAATTAGTCCCTTGGTTAAATGAATAGATGAAAATGTTGAATATAGTAAGTTATAATAAATTTAATTCCCGAGCTAAAAAAATATGTTAAAGTTAATGCTTCCGTTAAATAAAAAAATAGATAAATACTTAATAAGTGATTTTCATCTCGTTATTAAGTTTAGTATTTACTCAATTCATGAAGACGTTATTCGTGCCCTGCAGCATGAAAATTTTCGAAATGGCCTACTGAAAACAAATGAAATAAAAAAGGAATTCACCCAATGAAAAAGTCGATAATACTAATGGCCGGCATAACACAAAATATTGCAGGCCGAGCCAATTATTGTGTAGAAACCAAAATCCCCACTTTCTTAGCCCAAACAATAAAATAAAAAAACAAACAAAAAAACAAAATCTCCACTTGTCTTATTGAGATTAGAGAGAAAAAGCCGTTATATTTAAGAAGGAAAAGAACGTTGAGAAAATTTCCTTTAATAATACAAAGATCATCATGCATGGCCTGGTCAAAGGGTCAACATAACGAGAAGGAAAATTTACACCAATACAACGGGCAATTAAAATCTCCGCTAAAAACATCTTTAATCTCTTCATATTGGTTTTCCCGAAAATTCGTCGACGACAATATATAACGTCGTCCTTTTCGCGTGTCTTATTATCTGCCATTGAAGGCGGATAAGTATGAACCAAAATTAATATCACTTTCTTTGTTCATTCTAAAGCAATTAGCCGACCATGGACGGTTTTCTAATTTCTTTTCTTCGAAGCTTCCGTTAAATTCTTAACTCGACAAACTAACAAAGTTTTATGCTATAAATAGACTCATGCCCGAGAGACGATAGGACTTCATCGAGAGTAAGAGAACAAAGAACACTTAAAATAGATAAAAGTCAATATTAGAAAGATAATAATAATAATTATTGTCTATTAATGGCTACTTACAATAATCACTTTACCAGCTTTGCCATTGCACTGATTCTCCTTCCCACGATATGCATGGCAACGGAATATATTGTTGGAGACAACAAAGGGTGGACCATTAATTTCGATTATCAAGCTTGGGCAAAGGGCAAAGTATTCCATGTTGGCGACACATTAGGTATGTATTCGACTGATCGTCTTAACTTTTCTTTACGTGCTTTTGAACTATTTAATCTAGAAAGAATTAGGAATTTTTTTTTTTTTTTTTTTTTTTTTTTTTTTTTTTTTGCCAATAAGCTGTAAATCGTTTAAAATGTATCTTATTAAAAGAAATTATTTAAATTTAGAACAGTAGTTTTTCTTGCAATCCGTAAAGGAACGGAACCTTTTTTAAGGCAAGGGCATATTCTACTATAATTATGCATGCTTCAGCATGCTTATAAATCTTATCAAAATAAATGATGAAGTAACCTTCAACGCATAATATATCTTCTTAAAAAAAAATTGCATGTATTTGTCCCCCATTGAATTTATAAAATCAGAATTATGCCCTCACTGAATCCGTGTAATTATCAAATTTGAAATAACATGGGTAAATATTGGTGCCCCACGTGAAGTTGACAAGTATTCAAATGAACGATTATATATAAATTTGTATTATCCCTTCTATATTTCCATGTTCTTGGTTCCTCAATTGATCAAAATTACATTAAAATTAAAAGTATATAGAAGGAACAAGATTAGAAATAACAACTAAAACCTGACAAGTATATCCTTCCAAGAAAAAAAAAAGAAAAAAAGAAAAAGAACTAACAAGTATATATATCCGTAAATTTTTTAACAGTGTTCAACTACGAGGCTCCTAATCACGACGTCTACAAAGTGAACGGCACTGCATTTAACGATTGCATTGCTCCACCAGACGCGGAAAAATTCACCTCAGGAAACGACAAGATAGAGCTCAAAACTGCAGGAAACAAATGGTATCTTTGTGGAAAAGCAGGTCACTGCGGAACTGGACAGAAGCTCAGCATTGCTGTTAGCAACACGAGTGCTCCTGAACCCGCGCCCAACTCTGCTGTTCGCGGCACCTTCTTCTCTGCCTACCAAGTCTTGATGGCACTCATTGTCGTTCTTGTCGTCGTTAGTTAATTACGTACGCCGTCTAAGTTTCTGCGTAATAGCTACTGAGATTTGATATTGATGTCGTTTTCTAGCTCATGTCCAACAATAATGATCAGTTTTTTTATATATGCACCTGTCGGATAACTAGCTAGTTTTGATTTTTGATATTTTCTTTTTGTACCGCATGATTCTTTCTAGTGTGTTTAAGATAGTGTTTTGGAGTACATGTTTTGGATTAATGAATATTATTTCTTTTTCTGGTCAAAATTACATGCAAAACACAAGCTATCTTTCTTTGCCATACAATATGCATGCATCATGATCTATATTTAGTGTAGTTAATGTGAATTAATGACACATAAACATATTATAATACAATTATGTGAAATTATTTCATTTTTGTTTATGTTTTTGTGTCCTTTAATTTTATCCTTTGAAAGCTATGCTCGTGAGAGAGTTGAATTTATATTCCAACAAAATATAATTATATACAATAGAATAGTTGATTTTTAAATCATTTGAGGTTTCGATTTTAAACTATGAGATACTTAATAGTGAAAATTTGGGAGAGATTTAATAGGAAGAACCCATTCGAAGTGGCATTCTAGAGCTTCAGCAGCAAAACTACGAGGACTGCGATATGTCTGTACTCGATTCTCTTGCTCCTTTTCCTCCTCCCAATTTCCAATTCTAATCCTCCTTCAAAAGAAAACGATGATGTTGTTCTTCCTAAACACTAGACATTGGCTAGCTTTGTGAGTTTGACCTTGAAACATGTATTAAAGCTAGAACTCAACTGGATTTGGGCGATTGAATTTTGATGATTAAGAAAAAATGTTTATAGACTGATGTGACCTTTCAAGATATCAATAGATGGAGGACGGATGAGATCGGCGAAGTTTGTGGAATTAAAGAGAACATGAAAGAAGAAGAAAGAGTGGGAGTCCCCAAAGCATGAAAAATAGGAAAAGGTTTAGAAAAATTAAGTTTGAGATCGATAGAGAGAGGATTCAGAGCAAAGATAAATGGACATTGAAAGGACACTAAAATTTTTTCTGAGGTGACATAATATGAGTGGATGGATATCGTTTGGAATAGAAAAAATTGGACAGGGAATGCAAGTCCTTCAAGAATACCAACGGCAACATAATGCTGAGTCCGTTATATGTGCTAATAGAATTTTTAAATTATACGGCAATGGGGTATGGGTTAATTAACAAAAAACATTTGGATAGAAAATTTTGGTCAAGTGATCAGCATACTTTCATATAATACAGAGAAGTGAGATGCATAACATAATAATTATTCAACGTAATTATGATATTGTAGAGGTGTAAGAAATATAGTGTAAAATAATCAAATATATAGGGGCGTTATTGGTATGCAGTAATCTTAAGGAAGAGAATGAGAATCTGTAATATTACCATGTTTGGTACAAGAATTATAATTTCTAGATTCCCAAAAAAGTGATTACCATGGGATTCACTATCTCTCATTTTAAAGTAATTTGAATACCACCTAATATAGTGTTATTCAAATTCTTAAGAATCTCAAAATCATGGGAATCTTACCCACACACACAGTGCAGCTTATCACCACTGAGCATTTCCTCCTCCCTGTCATAGCTGCCGAGCACCTCCGTCGCCGCCCCAGTCGTTCCGCCCTAGTCGCTCCGAGCGTGTCGAGGAATCATCCGAGAACGACGAGCAAGAGAGAGCTTCCGAGGAGCAAGTGAGCCGCGATCCCGACGACGCCGAAGCGCTCCGGGCGCTCATGGAGGCGAAGATCAAGGCAAACAAGCTTGACGAGGCGCTCCGTTCTTGGCTCCGTTGACATCAACGAACAAACAAGCCTTCCAAAAATAAAATAAAATAAAATAAAAATAGGCAAAATAACCCTATACGACTTAATAGGATTACGATCCTACGTGAAGAATGAAAAAAAAAAAAAAAAAAAAAAAAAAAAAAAAAAAAAAAAAACAAATTACGATCCTACGTGAAGAATGGAAAAAAAAAAAACACTAAAAACAATTACCTTTTTTAGAGCTTGAGATTTTTATCTAACTGTTTTCATTAAGAGTTGCTGCACTGGTGGGGATTTCAGCCCTCCTGCACCGTAAAGATTGCCAAAAAATATTTTATAAATTTTAAAAACATAAAAGTCCTGAAACAAAACATCAAATTTAAAAAAACGGAAATTAAGTTTTTATATTTTTTAAAATGTTAAAAATATATTTTCAAAATCCTTTTAAGAAAAAAGAATATTTGTCATAAATAAATTCTATCTAGTTAAGCTAGTTTTCGTTTTTATATTTAAGTAGTAGAATAAAAAAAGCAAAAATTATAACTTTTTAATTATTGTTTAGATAAGGCATGAAAAGTGACATAAATATTATAAGAATTTTTGAACTTATTTGGTTAAATAAATTGAAAGCTCTTATTTTTATCGTTATTACATTATATTACATTTTACGAACATAAAAGTATCTATCAACAATTCGAATAGAAGATGGAAAGGGAAAAGAGAGATACTTTTTTTTTTATTTTTTTAGTTTGTTATATTTTTTAAATCTAATTTGTCAAAATTATAATAACTTAATTAAATAAATAGTTTAAAATTATAAGAAAAATTACATTACATTATTGTGCACAACTAAACACAGTAATGTAATATTCTTGAGAATTTGAGAAAGATTCTTGTATGGAACCAAACACAGTAATGTATTATTCCTAGGAATCATATTACCCACCATCACTTTCCCAGGAATATGATTCCTACTGATTACTGCATACCAAATGTCCCCTATGAGTGTTACACCTTTTCAATGCGTGTTAATGTTATTTATTGGAGTTAATCAAATATGATGTGTCTCACTTCTATATGTTAAACGTACGTTTAGTTGCAGCGAGAGAGTGGTAATGAGAATAATAATAGAATAAAATGAAAAGGAAAGATGATTTATTTGTTTAGTTTTATTTTTACAAATGCAATGGAATGAGATATGAATATTTTCATGTTCACAAAATTACCCCTCATGTTAATATAACTAATATTATGTTGGGGAGACACCACATGCCAAACTAGCCCAACACACTTTAAGAGCCCAACTTGGCCCAAAAGGTTAACCTATTAGGTCTTGGGTCATTCTATGTATATAAACCACTTCACATTCTCATCCACTTTCCATGTGAGATAATATACATGTGCATTTTTCTCAACAATCTCCCCCTCATGTGTGTGTTCACGGAGCTCCCCCTCGAATTAAACTTTCAAGTAGCTGGCACGATCCAAGCATCACACTCCAAACGGAAGCCAACTCAAGCATGGGAAAGAGAGCCGAAACCATGTGAGTCCACCAAATGCTCCACCATTCGCGCACCCGCGGGAACACCAACTCTCCACGGGAGGCAACGTGGGAACTGCAACCGAGTGAGATCGCTTGACCCATTCGAACTATCGGCTCTGATATCACTTGTTGGGGAGACACCATATACAAAACTCGCTCAACACACTTCAGAAGCCCAACTTGACCCCAAAGGTTAACCTATTAGGTCTTGAGTCCTTCTATGTATATAAACCACTTCACATTCTCATTTACTTTCCATGTGAGATAATACACACGTGCATTTTTCTCAATAATCTCCCCCTCATGTGTGTGTTCACCGAGCTCCCCCTCAAATTAAACTTTCAAGTAGCCGGCACGATCCAAGCATCACATTCCAAACGAAAGCCAACTCAAGTATGGGAAAGAGAGCTGAAACTATGCGAGTCCACAAAATGCTCCACCATTCGCACTCCTGCAGGAACACCAACTCTCCACGGGAGGTAACGTGGGAACTGCAACCAAGTGAGATCTCTTGACTCATACGAACCATTGGCTTTAATATCACTTGTTGGGAAGACACCACATGCGAAACTCGCTCAACACACTTCAGAAGCTCAACTTGACCTAAAAGGTTAACCTATTAGGTCTTAGGTGCTTCTACACCATTCGCGCACCTGCGAGAACACCAACTCTCCACGAGAGGCAACGTGGGAACTGCAACCGAGTGAGATCGCTTGACCCATACGAACGACAACCAAGTGAGATCACTTGCTGGGGGGAGACCACATGCGAAACTCGCCCAACACACTTCAAAAGCCCAACTTAACCCAAAAAGTTAACCTATTAGGTATTGGGTCCTTCTATGCATATAAACCACTTCACATTCTCATCAACTTTTCATGTGGAATAATACACACATGCACTTTTCTCAACATATTATATATATTAATAATCATTTAATAACTAAGAGGATGTTTAGTTCGTGGATTCAGAATCATTATTCAGAATCATTTTCAATTTACGTATATTTTTTGTGAGAGAAAATACTATAACGAATCACAAATTATAATTCAAATCATAGCACGAATCCACTAACTAAATGCACACTAGACTCGCACGGGATCTTCGCAATCGCAACCTTCCATATCTCCGTTGCGTCATCAATGAGACTCTTACCTCATATTTCTTCGGAAGAAGATATTTGCACTGTTGGGGGTTATCACATTCCACGAGCGCCCACGGAAGAAGATATTTGTGTTGTGCTTTTTTTTTTAAAAGAAAAAAAAAAATTTTAAATAAACCATAGCCACTTTTTTCCTCAGTTTTCGTTTATTATTAACCTAGTGAAAAGAGAATGAGCGCATTAAGACACAACATCAGTAAATGGAGTTTAAATGACAAGCTGAATCCCTGTGGTTCTCTTTTTGGTGCATTTTGTTCAAGAGCTTTATCCGTGTCATGATATTGGTTTAATAAATTTATCTTGCCATTGATTAATTACTTTTTTTTTATTTTTTCTTTTTATTGAAACATGTATGCAGTATGATTCATCAATAATAATCACACAAGTTATATATCTTTTTTACTAGTGACAAACAAAATAAGGGCTTTTCTTTTTTTTTTTTTCAACCCGCAGCAAAGAATATAGTGGAATTAGTATTAGTCTTAATCATTCAGTAGCAACCATAATCCCGTTTCTCTTGTAGTTAATTATTACATTCTTGAATATCGTTAAAAAGAATGTGCATTAGACAGCTTTTGTAAGTGGACCAAGATGGATGACGTGTAATAGAGGAAAATCATTTTTAGAGAATTTGCCGTATTCTAATTTACTACTTTTATAGAAATATTTAAGTTTAAATTATACTTAAAAGTGATACTGGTAAATAACTAAAGGGATTTGAGAGTAAATGCCAGTTTTTAGGGTTTTTTTTAGAGTAATAGCAGTTTTTAATTAACTTTATTTTCTAACTAATTAATTTAGTGATTTATCACTCGTTATGATTTATCATCGATTCACTAATTTATCACCGATTGACCATGATTTATTATTGACCAATCACTGATTAACTAGTAAAAAAAAAAAAAACAATCATTTTCCTTAAAAAAATTAAAATTTGATCAAAAAACCGTTATTTTCCTAATTCTGGTAATAACTACAACTTTAAAGGTTGTACTCAGCCTCATTTGCACGATAAAATCTAGCGATCGATGGTTCTGGATCTTGTGCTTTCCCAAAGACATCTTTTATCTTTTTCAATATAATTCACTTACTTAGCACTAATTTAAGCCTAATCAAATTGCATGCTTTATAAAGTCCTAAAGTTGCCATAAGTACCTAAGATCGATCCACAATAAAGGAGGCGATTGAGAGAGAGATCATGAGGAGGCTATGGAGGTTCATAATATTGTTATCAGGCGCCTTTGGTTTCTTCGTCCTTCTCTCCCAAATGTCTCTTCTCTGATATAATTCTTGTCATTACTGCTCTTCCGTTTTATGGTACTATTATCTAATTTGCGTGGAGTTTTTATTTTTATTTTTATTTTTTCACTACTACACTGACAGGGATGAAGATGATTATGATAATATTAGTCGCAACAGGCGAGAAGGATCTGGCCAAGAAGGATCTGGCCGAGAAGGATGTGGCCGCAAGAATAGAACCTATCATCCCGTACCGCCACCACCCAAGGCTTACGGTCGTGTGGGCCCGTAAATACTTGATCACATGATAGATTGATGTTCAAGCTCGAAAGCATGTTTTAACATCTCGAGCTTTTAAAGTATGACTAGCCAAGTACTTTGATATTTTATCGGTCCCCATCAAATTTCAGCCAGGAAAAATGGTTTTTCTCTGTAAGGAAAGATCTCAACCCTTGGTCATTGTCAGTGCTTTTTTCTTTTTCTTTTTTCCTTCTAATGTGAGTCGTAATTTAATTGTGCATATTGTAAATTAGAGGAAAGATTATACAATAAATACCGACTTTCGAATGTGTTTATATGTATATATGTGTGTGTGTTTATGTCATGTGTCTGTATTATTAAGATTCGTGTTTGCTTCTGTTTGTTTGGCCTTGTTAAGGGGAAAGAATTTCTATAGAAGGAAAGATTGGCACTGGATTTTATTGCGTCCCAAGATCCTCTTCCACCAATAAAACCACCTATACAAGCACGGCCACCGCCAAAATTTCGATGACCACCATTACCAGTAAAGCCACTCCTATTGTTTGGATTAAATGGATGAAATTACAGAACTCTGATTGTTGGTGAACCCTGACTGAAACTGATTGCCAAAAAAACTCCTTTTTTGCTTTGTTCCTGCTGTTTGGCAGTAGCCACATTAGCAGTAACAGAATCCAGTGATTTGGATTTCTTTTCCATTCAAACTTCTTGAGACGACTACATCTTCTTAACTGTGTAATAATCGGTTCTCGAACTAATGGTTAGAATCACAATCTCATATTACGATCGAAAATTGCAACTATAAGATCTTTAACAAATAATCCATACCAATGAGTTAGAAGATCGACATAGCTACAGATTTTTGACACCTGCCGGATAACCCTTCTCCGTAGATTGAAGCAACGCTGTGAACTTAGTTACCTTGGCACGCAAAATAAACCTCCACAATTAGACAATTCTAATATGATGACTCAAAATTCACCATACAAGCAAGCACACTTTCAGTCGTCAAAACTAGTGACAAAGACATGATCAGCTGATCTTGTTGTTCCCAATTCAAAAGTTTTGAGATTTATTCTTCCTAAAATCTCGTCTCCAGGGGGCAAGAAACTTCATTGGTGAAGGAATTGTGCTGAAGAGAATTTTTAAGATGATTATCTCAAATCCTAAATCTGTTCCGATCCAACCTCGAAGAAATTTAATGCATGAAAGAAATTGGAGAAAACATCCGAGAATAAGCTGCCATTGATGCTGTTGAAGTGATTTCACGAGCAAACGCCATCTAATACCATGTCAAAAAGAAAGAATTTATTGTTGGGATATCTGCCCATAAATCAAATAAGATGTAAATATTTTGCTGATTATCAATGAAATGAGGAATTTTTTCAATATTATTTTGCATACATGTGATGTTTTATAAATATCAAAATCTCTATATTCTTTTTTATGTAACTTTAAACATTGTATATAATTGTTATATGCAGAGGATAATGTTTGAAATAAAATAATCTAAACTTGTCCGTAATTATAAATTAAAGTTGGGATCTTTAATTTAAAATTACTAATGCGGTTCATTACATTCTGAATGAAACAATCTTATCCTAGATTGTTAATAATAAGATCATTGAAATGAAAGCATTTTATGTAATATGATTACATAGGACCGGAACGCGATTAATTATGAATCTCTAATAAATTCCGTTATTAAATAGAGTATTCAATGTTAATCAATGATGGTCATATATGTATTAATCTTAATTCTGAGTAATTAATAAACTCCTATTTATGATATTATGTTCTTTGACATATTGAGTAATGACACATGTGAATAGTGTTAAAGTCTTGGTATATTGGGAGCATAGTAAAATAAATAGCCGGAAATATTAATTTACAAGATGAAATCCATTCCTTCATAATGAAGTAGATTGACGAATCTCATAAGTGTTGATTCAGGACTTGAATAATAAGAGCGCTCAATTTTATGATTGGATCATAAAATATATTATTCATTAGAGGATCAATGGTACTTATGGAGAAAGATATAATTAAAGAGGTTAACAGAAAATACCTAGCTTTAATTATGAACCGTTTATGGAGAATTAATTCGTATGTAGTGAATATATCAATGGACAACACAAATTCCGTGAACATAATTATTTTATTATTTTGAGAGTGCAATTCCAAATTTATAGTGGAGTAATTTAGAATTAATAATTTTGACATATTAATTAAGGTATTAATTAATTGTCAAAATTATTGGAGCTTAAAATTATAATGTCCATAGTTCCTCTCAATGGCTCCATAAGATTAATGTGAACTGAATATATCATATTGGGTTATAATTATTAATATAGAATTGAGAATTCTAAATACACACATATTAATTAATTTGATTAATTAATATTAAAATTAATTTAAAATTGTTTTAAATTAATATGGATGAATTTAGAGAGAATTATTTTCTCCACGTTTCCTTCTCCCTCCCCTCGTTAATATATATATATTATATATATATAAAAGAAAGGAAACGTGCATGTGCACATTTCCAAAAAAAAAGAAAACAAAACAAAAAGGGGAGTGGGAGGAAACGTGCTGTTGCACGTTTCCTCACCATGAGGAAATGGAGTAAATGTGCGGTTGCACATTTACTCAAAAACAAAATGAGTTCTGTTTTTAAGAAGTGGAACGAAAATTTTTTTTTCCAGAGAATAGAGTGGTGTTCTTGGAATTTAAGAGCTCAAGACGGTGTTGGAGGAGTTCAAGATTTTCGTCCTAATCGAACGACGGTCAAATCCTCATTCCTTTCTTTAATATCTTTGTAGTTAAATTAACATGAAATAATGATCGCATTAAATTTTAATTTATGTGATTTGATCGATACCACGCTTCCGCACAATTTTTTTTTGAAAATCCGGTTTGAGAAACCAACATTTCTATGGAAGAAAAGGAATGCTCTGACAATGAATAAAATTCTTCTCAACTAATACACTAAACTACCTCTAACATTCGTACATGTGTACACTTGGCACTAACAAACTAGCTAGCTAATCTTCTTACACTGAAACTAATCTATATGATTAGCAGAAAAATACATTTCAGTTGTTCCCAACCGTACCTGTGTTCCCTTTTTTTTTTTTTTTTTTTTTTTTTTTTTTTTTTTTTTTAGCGTATCATTTTCTTTGACTCAACATCCAAACTGATGTATAATTAGAGATCAGATAAAGACCGAGCCAAAAAACTTACTGTATAAATGTACCAGCAAGAAATTCAAAAACACTAACTACATTCATTATGCAGAATGAATGGGAGAAAAAGGTGAAAGTTTGCTTTTGGCTCCAGAACCTCACATATCCCTGTTAGCTGTTTTACTCACATATCTTGGCAAATTCAATAGCCTTCTTCCCATCGTGGGGATTGCTGAAGAAATGCTTGAAGTAATCCAAGTACAGAACTTGCTTATAAATAGGTTTCTCCCCAGTTCCCAACACCTGAGGCAGGGGTCCTATAAGTGCATCAGGTCCAGGATTCACGAATATTGGAATGGAAATCCTGCTCTTGTTCTTGTTAGGTAAAGCGCGGTGCTCAACGCTTTTGTAGAGCCCGTTGCTCATTATCTGCAGCACGTCGCCAATGTTGATTACTAATGCACCATCAACATGCGGTACATGGATCCAACTATCAGCTCCACTGCCTTCTCGGCAGACATAAAGCCCGCCAGAGTCGTCTTGGAGGAGGACTGTGATGGTTGATATGTCCGAGTGGCGGCCAACACCTGCTGTGAGCTCTGGGTTGGGACATTTTGGATAGTAGTTGAAGTTGAGCCTCATGGCACCCATCAACTCATGTTCCGTCTCTTTGTCTATGTCATTCACATTCAATATCTTCAGCAGGACTTGTAGAAGCCTTTTGATTACAATCTCAGCCCTCGTCATGTATTCTATTGCTTCCTCCCTAATGTTTTTCATTGTTAAGGAAAAACAAGAAAAAAAATTTTGTTGCACTCTGTATGTAATACATATGAACATTCATCACAATAACATAATGTTTGGCTTAATACTTTATCATGTTAATTGCAGAATGCCTTCCTTAATATATTTAACTAAGTTACAGCTTTGTTTTTTTTTTTTTGGTAATTACTTTACAATCTCCAATGTACCCCTCTTCAACTATCTTAGTAAAAAAGTATTGCTTATTTTACTAGGCAAACCGTCTCATCCAGTTAAGCATTAAACTAAACATATTATATTCAGGATTCAATCTGTTTTTTTCCCCTCTTTTTTGTCTCAACCTTTACCTGAAACTAGTACTACAACATATCTTTAAAGAAAAATTAGTAGGAAAAAAATATCATTAGTGAAACACCATTGGCAAGGCTGTCCTTATAATCTTTTTTTTCTCAAATAACACATTACTCAAACAACTATAGATTATCGCCCTGTTCATTTCGTTGATTCGAGTTTAGAATTCGAGTTTTACTACAGTAAAAAGCTCTCACAAACAATCACATCTAACTTTTTTGCTACAATAAAAAACTCACATAAAATCACATCTCAACTCGAATTAAAAACTCGAATCAGCGAACTAAACGGACCCGATTCGTATGAAAAATGAAAAGAAGTTAAAATGCTCAACAACATAGAAAAAGCTTCATTCTTTCCTCAGTGTCGAGTTGAGATGTGACTTTATGTGAGAGCTTTTTACTGTAGCAAAAAAATTAGATGTGATTGTTTGTGAGAGCTTTTTACTGTAAAAAAACTCGAATTCTAAACTCGAATCAGCGAAGTGAACGGGGCCTATATTTCTATTGAAAATGTGTAACACGAATATATTTGATCATCTTACACTATATTTCTTACACCTCTAGAACGTCATAATTACTATATTATGCATCTCACTCCTCTATATTATACAAAAGTATGTTACTCACTTGTTCAAAATTTTCTATCTAATTTTTTTTTTGTTAATTAACCCTATCCCATTGCCGCATCATTTACAAAATCTATTAGCACATAACGGACTCAGCATTATGTTGCCACTAAAAAAAATTGACATTAACGTCTCTAATTAACGTCAATTGACCAAAAAAATTGACATGCCGTTGGTATTCTTGAGGGACTTGCATCCTCTGACTTTTTCTTTTCTCTTTTTTTTTTTTTTTTTTTTTTTTTTTTTTTTTTTTTTTTTTTTGTTCCAAGCAATATCCATCCACTCATATTATGTCAACTCAAAAAAAATTCTCCATTTATCTTTACTCTGATTTCTATCTCCTATTGATGTCTAACTTGGTTTTTCTAAACCTCTTCCTATTTTTCACGCTTTGGGGACTCCCGCTCTTTCTTCTCGTTTTATGTTCTCTTCATTTTTCATTCCACAAATCTCACCGATCTCATCCGTCCTCCATCTATTCTATTGAAAGGTCACATCAATCTATAAACATTTTTTCTTATTCATCAAAATTCAAACGCACAAATCCATTTGAGTTCTAGCTTTAATACATGTTTGAAGGTCAAACTCACAAAGCTAGCCAATGGCTAGTCTTTTAGGAAGAACAGCATCATCGTCTTCTTTTGAATGAGGATTAGAATTGAGACGCAAATCATAGTCCTCGTAGTTTTGCTGCTCATGCTCTAAGAATGCCACTTCGATCGAATGGGTTTTTCCTATAACGAGGGGCATAGCTAGCTTAAGCCCAACGGCAACTGGTCCTCGTACTTTTGCCTCCATCAAATTTTCTTTTCAATTTTTCTTCAGCTTGTTTGCCCAACAGAAAATTTTTAATTGTAATATCTATTTTTTTTTTTTTAAATATTATTAAATCTCACCCAAATTTTCACTAATATTAAGTATCTCATAGTTTAAACTGGATATGTAGACATACAACCCATATGCATATGTTCTCTAAAACGTGAACATTCGCCTATATTAGCACAAAATCAATTGTTCTTCACACACACACACATATATATATATAAACATATAATAATCTGGTGGCGGTCATTATAAAGGCAATAAAATACAAATCCATACTAAAGAAAGTCCAACTCATGGTCCAATTAGCTAACAAACGCAGCTGAATATATGGTTCCTAAGTAATGCACAAATAATAATCTATTGATGCCGATTATTTTCGGATGCAGCCCACATAATACTAGTTATTTCGTCCCTCAATATATTCATTTGTCGTCGGTGTGGACGGTTATGATGTTGTTGGACTTTCCGATCAGGATTGTGATTCTGATTCACATACCGGAACGGCGTCCCTCATGTACTGGGTGAGTAGATCATCGTTGCGGTTGTACATATGTATGAAATTGTGTAGCACAGCACAAGCCATCCGAATTTGTATCTGTTTATCTATTGGGTAGTTATATACGGAATCTAACTTTCCATACGCCGAATGTGCGCTCGATACAATTCCTTAGGGAAGAATGGGTGTAGTTGAACAACTCACGCTCATTTTGGGGCCAACCACGCCTTGCTCTATACTCTTGAAGGTGGTAAGTGCTCCCCTGGTAGGGCGTCAAGAAACAATCATTGTTTGCGTACCCAGAGTCAACGAGGTAATATTTACCTGTGGTGTGAGTTAGAAGGCAATTCGTGAATATATTAGTTCCACATGTAACCACAAACGTGCCAAAATGAAAAGTTATGTAAAAACGAAGCATAATAATATACCTTGTGGTGGATATGGGAACTTTTTGACGGACGTCTTTGTTGCGGATGCAAGCACACGAGCATCATGGGCAGATCTCTCCCATCCGGCTAAAATGTAGGTGAACTTCATGTCGAACGAGTAGACCCCTAACACATTTTGGGAGTAGAACCCCTTTCTATTTCTCCATACTTCGGGACTTGAAGGTGGTGGAACGCATGGTACATGAGTCCCATCAAGAGCGCCAACACAATTCTACATAGTTGACAACATATATAAGCAACAAATGTCTTTTAAGTGTTATGGTAGCGAGTTTTTAAAATAGAATAGTAAGTTGAAACACTATACCTGAAATCATGACAAATACTTGTTTCCATGAGCGGCTACGACAGGATCGATAACGTTGAAGTTTGGTGGTTTAATGAAGTCAAAACGGAGCTTACACAAGGTAGTCAAAACGGCGTGGAAATACTTTGAAATGGTGGCACCTGAATGCTGTCATTGATCTTGTGACTCCTTGTTGTTTGAGCTTTGACAAACAATGTAGAGGAAAATAAAAACCTGCTCATCGACATTCATATTCCTAGTTGGTCTTAAGTACCCTTGTAGCTCAAGCAAGGAACTTAGTTGCTTAAAACTCACTGCTCATCCTAATTTTCGACCTAATCACGTCCTCATGTCCATCAAGTAAGTAACCGACAGACATTATACTTGTTAGGGCCGACATGTGCTTTGGTCGAGGTAGAGGTATTTCCATATATGTGTAGTAATACCATAAGACAATTGCAAATGCTGCAATCTCATACTCGTCGTCGGAGTCATCGATGTCATCATTTGCGGCAACCACATATGATGGCCCTGGATTCCACATGACTTCCTGCGACGAATGCATAAGTACACAAAATATATATGTATGTAGTTCAATGCATTAAACATGTTATGGAAGAAATAAGCTCAGCGCACTAACAATAAATATTGCAATAGAAGTACAACTCAATAGCCATGATCACCACACTGCAATCTCAATGTGACCACAGCTATAGTGGGAAAAAAGTAACTACCATCGCTTCCATTAGTCCGTAGCAACATTTTAATGGAAATTGTTCAATAGTAAGAATACATAAATGAGAATACGACCATTAATTAAAGATTATAATGTGGCAGGGACCGCCAACTCTTTGCCACCAAATGTGCCACTTTGCGGTGAAAAATGTGGCACGTAGTACGGTGTACTTGGATTGTAGGTGGGCGGCTGTGGGGGATTGTTGTTTTAGGGATTGTTGGGAAATTGTGCAAAATGTTGGTGCATGTTCGGCGGTAGAGTTGAAAATTTTGGGACCTGGGGACGCCCAAAGTTTGGAGGCCACTGACTAAAGGGGGCGGGTTGTTGTCCAACTATTAGTGGGGGGTGCATGAAGTTGATGGCCGGTGGCATGAAGTGGGGAAATTGAGGCGACACGAACTGCGCCCCCATATATGTGTTTGGAGTGGAGAAATGTGCAGCTGTTTGATTCCGTGACGTATTGATTGTCTTCGTCACGAAGAAGGCACGTTGACTCTCTGTTATCTTAACGAAAATTTGCTGCATATTCGGATACCACGCGATGGCCTCCAAAAATGTGACAGCGGTTTCGTCATCAAGCGCCATTTCCTTAACTATTTCTTGGCACCGGTGCATGAGAGCATTAGTGGCCGAAATCTGATTGGCACTGAAGCTGTTGCTACAGCTACTATGCTTGCTTTCGACTGAAGAAACAAGTCGGCCAATTAATTCCTTGGCCTCCGGATCACCCGCCACCCTGCGCGAGGACTTGGTTGTTTTCTTGCCTATGGCCTTCATGATGTGGCGATGTTGAGACCTCTTACATTGTGCAAACTAGCCCGCATGGTGTTGACGAAGCCATCATCACTGCCTAGTGAGCCAGATGTCGCCCCTCCGTCATCGGAAATGGGGACTGCATTTTCCTCTTCATTGGCTGGCTTATCCAACCCGTACTCGAACCCCCCACTTGCCCTCCTACCACCAAACGCCTCATAGTACAAGTCAAAGTTTTTAAGAGGCTGATTCCTGGCCGCCTTTGCCCATTTCTTGTTCTGCATGAGAAGGAGCAAACAAAATGAACCATTCCATTCCAAAATTTACGTTGGCAGAACTAAGCCCACGTGGTAAAGGGATTATAAACATTTACCTTCGCAAAATCTTTCCAATATTCATCAGTGCACATCACGGCTCCGGTCACTGGGTCCCAGCCCAGTCCTGTGTTATTGCGTAGCATTAGCTCATGATCAAACTTGGCCTTTAGACGGACTTTCATATGTTGCACTTTCACAAGGGTCACTTGATCCTTGAAAAAGTCTTGAAGTTCTTTCGCCCAATCCTCCCAGGTTTTAGAATCAGGCTTTCGTCCGTTAGAAGTACGATTGTAGGCAGCGAATCGCATAAGCAACTCCTCTTTTTGCCTTTCTGTCTAGTGAAGAGTGGACTCATCGTCGGATCTCCCTCTTGGCATCTAATATAACACAACACACTACAACGAGTAATGTATCCATATTTGTATGATATCGGCGGCGTTCATTATAAAGGCAACAAATTACAAACCCATACTAAAGAAAGTCCAATTTATAGGACATCACTGTTTTCATATACTGTGAAGTACGAACTACGGTGATAAGTTTCTACAGGGCACCAGACATCAATATAATGCAGTGAGTAACAAATGAAAACGACAATCATGTGATCAGTACGGCATCAGTATAATGCAGTGAGTATTATATGCAAACGATAACCATTAGAGCATGATCAAATCTGGAGAAAACGACGATGAACTAGGGATCAACCATGACTAAACAAGGACATTGTAGGCAGTTCAAAAATGGTGTAAAAATTTTAAGTAATTTCAGCAACATGAGCCACAGGGAAGAGGAATGTACTTAGTGGTAAGTTAGGCATCAGACAAAGCAAAATTGCCAATGGAATGCAGAACCAAATAGGGCAGCAGGTTGTTAATGCCAAAATGAAAGGTTCCATAAGTACGACATCAGTATATGCAGTGCGTAGTTTATGCAAACGACAAGCATTGCAGCATGATCAAACCAGAAGAAAAGTTGGCAATGGAAACCAGAAGCATGGAAAATCAAGAACATTGTAGCCTAAAATGCAGAAATGGTATGTAGAAATTCAGTAAAGGGGAAAGCTCATACCGTGTTCGAACCAGTTGAGGACAACGGCTGATATGCTTGGACAACCCCCAAACGCAACTGTGAGGCACCTCGTAAAGGAGTCCGATAACGGCACCGGTAACAGTAAGGCCTGAACCGGCGATAACGATTCGGCGCGAGGTTCCGGCGTTTGCCTCTACATCGACTCAGTATTACCACCAAAGGAGTACGCCGGTAGCCTCGCGTCGGATCAATAAGATCCGTGATGAAAATTCAAGGGTAGGAGCGGAAAATCTTTCTAGGGTTCGGAATTAAACAAGCAATCAAAGACAAAATTGGAGGAAATTGGGGGGATTACCTTTTTCCACTGCTGATCTTCCCAACGATCCCGCGATTCAAGTTGGGTTCTAATACCAGAGATTCGATTCGAGCAGCAGGGAGAACTTGCGACAGAGCTTTTCAGAAAGCCTTTTGCGGAGAATCGTCGGGGCTTTTCAGAGTGAAAACTCAAGGCGAGAGGCACGAAGGAGGGTCCAACGGGAAGAAGTGTCAGCAGAGGGAATCCGCATTGTAGAATCACACTGGAGTAATGGGAAAATAAGGGTCGGTAAAACTCATCGACTCGAGTTATTACTCGAATTTAAAATTTGAGTTGCGTTTCGTGAACGCGTAACTCTGCCTAATTTCACACTCGAGTTGAGCTTCTTCCAGTGTAGTATACGAAGTGAACGGCTCCATAGTTTTTTCTTGCATCCAAAAACAAACGAAACGTTTTACAATAGAGCATACTGTCGCCTCGTTCGTTTCAATAATTCGAGTTTAAAATTTGAGTTGAGATGTGATTGTATGTGAGAGCTTTTTACTGTAGCAAAAAAGTTAGATGTGATTATTTGTGAGAGTTTTTTACTGTAGCAAAACTCAAATTCTAAACTCGAATCAGCGAAACGAACGAGGCCAAACCATTATGCATGTTTATGATGTTACATCACGTTAAAATCTGTGATGAAGTTACTTTCGACTCAGTGGAGGTACATGTTCTACTGAGATTTTTATTTTTTTTTCTATGCATATAATTTTCTTTTTCAAATTGTATTTGTTCCCCCACTAAATTTATAAACTCAGGAATGTGTCCTCACGAAATTTATATAATGATCATATTTGAAACGAAGCGACTAATTGTTACCCATTTAAATTGAGAAAGTATTCAAATGAACAACATTATAAAATTTGTACAATTTTCTTCTATGTTTTCATATTCTTGGCTCCTCTAATGATTAAAATTACTTTAAAATTAAGGGAGAAAGAGCTAAACATTTTTTTTTTTAGAAATATCTATAGTAAATAACATGCTTTAACGTATTTTTAAATAACATATTTATAATAAACTTTTTCTTTATGAAACATATTTATGCAAATTCAACTTATAAATTTGCTTCATAAATGAATCATTAACCAAAAATATGCTATTTACAATAAATATTTTTTTTTAAAAAAATGACCTATTTGCTATTATTTCACTAAAATTAAAAAGTATGCCAATAGACAGAATTTGTAGATAACAACTATATAATTTCATAAACATTTATTTTATGTAGCTATCTCCGGTAGGCTATCCTACCAGTAGGATTAGTTTTCTGACGGTTAGATTTGATTAAAATCAAATGACATTAAAAAAATATGCATAACAGAAATTATAATTTTTGATACATATCTACCAATATGGGAGAAACTCCCTTATTTTATAGATAATAACTAACAAGCAACAAGTATATCATCTCAAGCCAATAATAACAATAATGATACTGACGGTTATGCCCATAAATTTTGTTGAAACAAAGACCAAAAAATTAAAAAAACCGAAAGAACAAAAAAATTTTAATGCGGTTCGGCAATTTCACCAACATCCACAGATCAAAATATGTTTTTGATTTCATTTACTGATGATTTTACAATGAGCTCATTCGTGAGTACAAATAGAGACGTTTCCCTAAAAACACAAATAAATGCATGCCGTCAATTAGCTTCATATTAAGCCTACAATCACGCTCATAATCAATTCCTTCAATCAAGGATATTGTTGCCCTAATGAGATAGTTGACCAATATTTCAACAAATTTTCGTAGTGTTCAACTACGCAGCTCCTAATCACGACGTCTACAAAGTGAACTGCACTTCTTTAAAGGACTGCATTGCCGCACCAGACGCGGAAAAGTTCACCTCCGGAAACAACAAGATAATGCTGAAAGCTCCAGGACACAAATGGTATCTATAATGGAAAACTAGGTCACTGTGAAACTGGACGGAAGCTCAGCATTACTGTTTTCGAAGCGAGTGCTCCTGAACCCTCACCACCAAGTAACTCTCTTGAACCCCCAACCATGTTAGAAAAATTATAATATATCTTGATCAAGATCACAAGTTGTTTGAGTATTAAAACATGAAAATTTGTGTTAAAAGGACTTCAAAAAACGCTGCAACGGAAAAAACTGCTTTGATTCGGCCAAACCGACTGCAGCCGAAATATTTTGGCTGCACCCGAAATGTTTGCATGTACTGGGTTTGTTTGCAGCTGCAGTGAGAAAACATCCGCTGTAGCGGAAATTATACAGAAAATAATGTTTTTATGAGTTTATGTGATCTAAAACGTTTCGAACCATTACATCCATTGGTGATATGTTTTCATACATATATGAACACCAATTAACAATAAATATAACTATTGTAATAGGTGTATTAATCCATGAAAAGATACATTTACATTGAAAATGTACCTTTATATATGTGAATGGTTGTAATATTTAAAGATGATGCATTCATTCATCAAATAGCACATCTATCTTTATTAATTCTCCAAAAAATTTACAAATTTTATTCATGTTCTGAAACTCAATATTATTGCTAGATATTGTGTTCAAAGGTTTATTATATCTTGGGAGTAATTTACCATTAAAACTCATTAGCAAACTTTGAGAAGTGAGGGTAAATAAAACCTTAAAAGAAAATATTCTTATACGCCTCAAACTATATCTTGTTTATGTATTCTTTTCACCCTCTACACTCAAATTTTTCCAACAAAACAACTCTGCTTTTCGTCGGATCTTCTTCTCCGGCTACCAAGTGATGATCTTTGTGGCACTCATTGTCGGTTTCGTCGTCGTAAGTTAATTACGTTGCGTAGCTAATTTGGTCTAATTGGTGTCATTTTCTAGCTAATTAAATAGTTCAATAAAATGGTCAGTATTTTTGTGTACCTGTCAGATTACTACGTTTGATGTTTACTTTTATATATATATATATATATATATATTGTGTCTACCGCATGATTTTTCACGAGTATGTGTACGATGGTCTTTGGAGTACCTGTTTTGGATTAATGAAATAGGATTACTTTTTTTCGGGTCTAAACATGCAGACGTAATAAGCTGTCTTTCTTTGTCATGCATGCATCATGCTCCACATAAAAGAGTGGTTATTAATGTGAATTAATAACACGTAAACATTACAACTCAAATTTTTTTATTTAAATTTTGTTTACCTTTTTGTATCTTTCTTTAATTTTATTATGTGAAAGGACAGGAACCACGCTTGTAAGAGAATTGATTTTTAATATTCCAAAACAAATATGAATTTATTATATAGCAGGATTGTTGATTTTTAATTTACTTGAGGTTTGAAGTTTGAATTAGCTGCTTAAAAGTAAAAAGTTGGGTGAGATTTAATTTAATAAGAATCAAATGAAAATACAACATAAAAAATGGAAGGGGCAAACTAGAAGAAACATTGAAAAAAAAAATTATGGGGCAAAAATATAAGGAGCCCATAGGCTTAAGAGAATAAAGACTAATTGACTCAATTTAACCCTCTCTTTTCCATATGATTTAAACAAAAACTCTAACATAAAGACTTAAATGAGAGTGTTTTAAAATTTAAAGGGTAAAGTGAAAGCTTTAAAATTTTAGAGGACAAACTGAAAATGAATCTAAAGTTTAGAAAGCACAAGTTAAAGGTGAAATTTTAGACTTCCAGGGCTGGGCTGACCTAAAGGAGAGAGGTTCGACCCGGCTCGGCCCTAAAGCCTGACGGGCCTAGAGACAGCCCGGCTCGGCTATGAAATTTATAAGGCATTTTAAAAAAAAAAATTTTAAAAGATCAAGATGTTTTGGCCGACATGACTAGGCTCAAATAAGCATTTAGGCTTGAAACCTCAGCCGGCCCGTTTGGCCTAGCACAAACTTACAGCTCTAATACCATTGAAATGAACCTTTTTTCGCGTTAGTACTTATAGAGGGGAAATAATACTATTTAAAAAAACACATTAAAAGAGAATTAAAATCTACATGAGTATCTCGCAAGGAAAAAATGAAAAATAAAATAAGAATAAATTTGAAAGAAATAATTTTAACAAAAAAAAAAAGTGATGAAAAAAGGTATTTTAAAAAGACATTATAAAAAATAAGATATATAGAAAAAAAAATCCCAAATATGAAAAAAAAGTAAAACGCAAAAAATAAAAAACGGAAGGGAGCAAAGAGGATGGACACGCTAAAGGGAAGCTAAACTATTTTGATTCTTTTTACTTACGTAAGATGAGATAAGAAATAATGGAATTGTACGTAAGATGCGATCAGAAATAATGGAATTTTCAAACATAAATATAGTACACTATTCTATTTTTTTTTAAGGTAAAATGTATTTCAAAATAAGAGATACAAACACTAATATTGATATAACTGACTTCGCAATGCAAACATAACGTAACTCCAATCATTGACTGATTCTACCACATATTATAGAACGCGAGTAGTTAGAAAAACGTGCGTTGAACTCTTGCGACGGGAAGTTAGCATAGAGAACAAGTGCACATATAACTATTTAAAAACACAACTCTATAATGATAGACAATTCTATTTTTTTTAAGGTAAAATGTATTTCAAAATAAGAGATACAAATACTAATACTAATATAACTGACTTTGCAATGCAAGCATAATGTAACTCCAATCATTGACTGATTCTACTACATATCATAGAACACGAGTGGTTAGAAAAACGTGCGTTGAGCTCTTGCGACGGGAAGTTAGCATAAAGAACAAGTGCACATATAACTATTTAAAAACACAACTCTATAATGATAGACAATTCTATTTTTTTTAAGGTAAAATGTATTTCAAAGTAAGAGATACAAACACTAATACTGATATAACTGACTTCGCAATGCAAGCATAATGTAACTCCAATCATTGACTGATTCTACCACATATCATAGAACGCGAGTGGTTAGAAAAACGTGCGTTGAGCTCTTGCGACGGGTAGTCAGCATAAAGAACAAGTGCACATATAACTATTTAAAAACACAACTCTATAATGATAGACAACTTTAATCGATCGAGTATGAGACATTTATAGACCAAAAGTCACCCATAAAAAAAATATGAAAAAGAGTGCTCTTTTTGATAGAAGAGTGACAAACTCTCTTAAAACAGTGCATACCATTGGAGAAGCATGCTCAAAAAAGGAGGAAAAAAAGTCAATCTTTTTTATGTAGCAACCTTCTCTTACACATACTTAAGAGTCACTAATCAAAACACGCGTTCTGTGCTCGTGACTCATTTAAAATAACGGTTATATAAATTATTAAAAAAAAGATAAAAAAATGATGAATAAAATAAAGACAACTGCAGAAAAAAGATCCAAAG